CTGAATACTTATGACCCTGTGATATTTCAGTTTTTCTTTTTTAATAAATCTGCAAAAACGTCAAACATTCTGTGTTTTTCTGTCAATATGGGGTGCTGTGTGTACATTAATGAGGAAAAAATGAACTTAAATGATTTTAGCATATGGCTGCAATATAACAAAGAGTGAAAAATTTAAGGGGGTCTGAATACTTTCCGTACCCACTGTACACCACCATCTTTAACTTTGACCTCAATAATAAATTTATAATTGATTTTATATATTTATGACAGTTTCAGTTTGTTGCTGTGAGCTCCTCCATGGCTGGCTGTTCTAAGTGACTACTGGTGGTTTGACAGTGCTGCACTGAATTGTATACAACTGTACAGGTGTGACTGTTAAAGTGGCCGAGCAGTGTATATTGTTCTTTGTTGTACAATGTTAAAATTGTAATACTGGTAATAACCCCCATTTTACTAACTAATTCTCTGAAACTTTAACAGAATACAGTTACTTTTTTGTATCCTAAATACACAACACTGTTCCATGTATTCTGTTACTCCCTAAGCCTGAACATTAGCGGCCTAGCATAATGACCATTTTAATTTAGGAATACTTTGTGTAACGTTAGTGCTTTGTGTCACATTAGCAATAACTGAGCTTTCTACTAAAAATGTACTTGTCAGCTAACTTAACTTCATAGTGGAGGCTGCATTATGTACAGTTTGTCGCCATCGCTAGGAAACAGGATGAGATGGGAGGAGAAAAGAGTGGTTAGGAGCAGCTTATGGTGTTTGTGCTTTGTTTTGAGGCTCACTAGACCCTCGAGTGGTTGAATAGACATTAGTTAGCTTTAAGAGCAGCTTTAGTGTCTGTGTGTGGCACTTACCCTCCATGTTGATGGGAAGTGAGATTTCCTTTGGATTCAGTTTATCCCAGTGAATCTTTGGAGTAGGTACGCCCTCCATCACCGAGCAGGACAGCGTGACACTTCCTCCCACATCAATATCTCCATTCCACTGGCACACAGGCAGTGAAGGTGGTGCTACAAAAATAAGTGCTAGATGAATTTGTAATAGGGTGTATTGCAGGAAAACGCTCACAATAAATGCAAACAATTCAGTCAATGGATGAGACAGATTCTGTGGTTTCTTCAGGAATATTTCTTGTTAGATGTTCTAGTGTGAGGCTAACCTACACATCAGAGTGTCTTTGAAACTAGTATTTCTCCAAGAGCAGTTTTGAAATCTATGACCCTGATAGAAATGTTAACTCAAAAGGTAAAAACTGTAAAGGCCATCTGCTTTTCCCCCCATTCCTGCGATGAAATGTTGGTAATGAGAGGTAAGTAAAGTTTTAATGAAAGTTTTATCTGATGCTCGGTTCTGAAATACCAACAGGTGGTGAAGAGGAACCAAAATTCAGACTTTTATTTGTACTTTTGGACAAATATGTGTATTTTCCATTGTTGTTTTCTTTAAGGCCTCTGTGAGAGTAGCTCCATGTATCTACAATTCACTAAACAAAAGCCACAGTATTTTAGCCAAATACAACAATTTTCATTTAAAATGGAATATTAGATCTGGCCATTATTATTTTCACTGCTTTGGGATTTTAATTTTGTTAGTCATTTCTCAAGGAGTGTAAATTGCTAAGGGATCATCAGCTTAATTCCAATTCATCCTGGGGGAACATGAACACGTATAACAAATTTTATGGAAATATCAACATCAAGGTGGCACAGAACCGACAGTCTGACGGACAGACTTACTGTGACTAGAGCTGAGGCACTGGCTCAAAACTATTAGATTAATTAAACTGTGCGGCACCTCTGTTTGCAGAGGTATGCTTGGTAATACGCCGAATATAAACCTGTACTGAAAAAAAGATGCATCCCTAAATCACAGTATGGTAATTACTTCAAAGTGTTTAAGTGCCACTGAATTGGCTTTCTCTGGGAGAATATGACATTTACCCAGAACACTGAGCACCAGTTCTCCTATGTCGGGATCAGCTGGCTCTGGTGGGTTGTTCACCATGCAGCGGTAAACACCAGCATCTGATACATGTGTGTCATTCAGGACAATATCTGCACTCCAGGGAATACCTGCAAATGGTTTACACAAAATAATCATGTTTTTATCTTGTCTTCAATTTCTAAATGCATTCTTAAAAATTAAAAATAAAAGTTTTCAAAAAGACTGATTTGTGTAGCTGAAAAGGGAAATGTAAACATAACAATAAATGTCACTGAGAAGTTTTTTTGTACTAAACTGTTCTTGAGAAGCAAAGCAAAATTCTATGGTTATACCTGTAAAAGCCACCCTGCCAGTGAGGGAGCGGTCTTCAATCACCTGTCCATGGTCATACACAATCACCTGGAAGTGAGAGCAACAATTCACACCTCAAAAATATGGACCGGCGTGTTGTGTAGACGATAAGGTGGGTTTAATGTGGATGACTGTATCAGAATCACCAGTTTTCTTTTAAAATGCTGTTCCTAATTTTACCAAAACCTGATCCAAGAAATGGGAGTGACATTAAAATGCATAAAAGAAAACTTTCAGAAAATTCTCTCTCCAAACAGTGTTCACATTGCAGCAGTCTGAGTTTTCAGATGGCCCGATTTACTAGATCATATTGTCCATCCATGCTGGTTATAATGAATTACATAAACATAAAATATCTGATCTATTTGCAAGACTGTGGTGTGGTGCTGCATGAGAGAATGTATCAGATATGTGACTGTGTGTCATTCAGACCTGTATTGGGGTTTCTGGACTGGAGAAGGGAGACAGAGTCCAGATAACATTGAGTTTGGATATGGGGCTGGAGGTGAAGAACGAGCAGGGCAGGACAACAAAATCCCCTCGAACCACCTCCAGACTGGATTCCCGTGCAGCTGTAACAGGTGGGGGTGGGGGTGGGGGGAAGTTATTTTTTATACATTTCTTCATGTTTCATTGTTGTTTTGCTTATCACTTCCATTGTTTCATGCTGACATGCAGACTACCACAATCCTCCTCCATTACTGAAATAATGAACCTTTCTTCTCTCCTCTCCAGGCCCATTAGTTAATTACACTCGACAGCTGTGCATTGAGCCAAACTGATCACAGACCGAGTGGAACAACAGTCTACTTTACTAGGACGCGTCCGTGAAAACATACCATCAATGTACGGTATTGCTTCTATGTACCAGTTTTAAAATGTATATATGTTGTCTTCTTCTTTTAGCTGTTCCTGTTAGGGGTCGCCACAGCGAATCATCAGTTTCCACCTAACTCTATCCTCAGCATCTTCTACTCTCACCCCAATTAACTTCATGTCCTCTTTTAGCACATCCATATATCTCCTCTTTGGCCTTCCTCTTGACCTCTTGCCTGGCAGCTCCATCTCCAACATCCTTCTACCAATATAACCACTATCCCTCCTCTGCACATGTCCAAACCATCTCAATCTGGCCTCTCTGACCTTGTCCCCAAAACAGCCAACCTGAGCTGTCCCTCTGATGTGCTCATTCCTAATCCTGTCCATCCTGGTCACTCCTAAAGAGAACCTCAACATCCTCATCTCTGCTACCTCCATCTCTGCCTCTTGTCTTTTCCTCACTGCTACAGTCTCTAACCCATACAGCATAGCTGGTCTCACTACTGTCTTGTACACCTTTCCTTGGATTCTTGCTGACACTCTTCTGTCACACAACACTCCTGACACCTTTCTCCACCCACTCCAACCTGCCTGCACTCGCCTCTTCACCTCTTTCCTACACTCCCCATCACACTGGACTGTTGACCCCAAATACTTAAACTCCTGCACCTTCTTGACCTCAGCCCCCTGTAACCTCACTGTTCCACTTCCCTCCCTCTCATTCATACACATGTATTCTGTCTTACTACGACAGACTTTCACTCCTCTTCTTTCCAGAGCAGACCTCCACCTTTCCAGGTGTTCCTCCAGCTGCTCTCACTACAGATCACAATGTCATCCGTAAACATCACTGTCCGTGGAGATTCCTGTCTGACCTCATCTGTCAACCTGTCCATCACCATAGCAAACAAGAAGGGACTCAAAGCCGATCCTTGATGTAGCCCCACCTCCACCTTGAACTCCTCTGTCTGACCTACAGCTCATCTCACTACTGTTGTACTCCTCTCATGTAGTCTACAGATAGTAATTTCAAATTTGTACACTCAATATGACCAAAGGGCTGTTTTTCATGGATCATGTTTGATAAAGTCAAGCAATTAAATGCAAATTAAATCTATAGCTCCCAAGTTTGATGATGCTCTTAAAAATGATTAATGGTCTTTTTGTATTCAAATTCCCATTTCTAGTTGGGGAAAGAAGTATTAGACCAAGTTTCAAATGGTCAATTTTTATAGCAGACATTTTAATTGATTAATAGATTGTAAGGGTCTGTCACACCTGGTTTTACAACAGAATCATAACATGAACAAAAAAGTTGGTTTTCCAATAAAATCTCTAGAAAAAAAGCTACAAGTCCTGTGGCTTTGCAGATCCTTCAAAACACTTGAAGGATTAAAAGGTACAGTGGGGCAAAAAAGTATTTAGTCAGCCACCAATTGTGCAAGTTCTCCGACTTAAAAAGATGACAGAGGCCTGTAATTTACATCATAGGTATACTTCAACTATGAGAGACAGAATGAGAAAAAAAAAATCCAGAAAAATCACATTGTCTGATTTTTAAAGAATTTATTTGCAAATGATGGTGGAAAATAAGTATTTGGTCAATACCAACAGTTCATCTCAATACTTTGTTATATACCTTTTGTTGGAAATGACAGAGGTCAAACGTTTTCTGTATGTCTTCACAAGGTTTTCACACACTGTTGCTGGTATTTTGGCCCATTCCTCCATGCTGATCTCCTCTAGAGCAGTGATGTTTTAGGCCTGTCGCTGGGCAACACGGACTTTCAACTCCCTCCAAAGCTTTTCTATGGGGTTGAGATCACGATACATGGCCCCATTCATTGTTTCCTTTACGCCTTTTTTATAAAGAAATAACTTTTAATTTGTTGATGATAATCAGAGTATGTCACACTTAGAAATGTATTGAGTGAACTGTAAATACCGAGTTCTCCTGGGTCAGTCAATATGAGTGTGAAAAATAACTTAGAAAATCCTTTGGCTCCATCTAGTGGTACTAAGGAAGAATAATGGTTTAAATGATCCTCTTTCTTTGGCTATCAGTGACTTCTACTAAGCTAAAATAACACCAAAGTTTTCGTCATACCTGTGCAGTTTTGTCGTCTGAACCTCCGACATTACAGCAGTGTCGTCTCTGTTGCTGCTTTGTGGTGAAGGTCACTTGTGCTGCGTCCTCAACGCGGTTCTGATTTTCATCTCTCCACCACCTCTCACTAACTGCACATATAAAGTAAGTATTTATATTGTGCTTATCACTACTGAAAATTGAACAATGACAGCCATTTAGTGTGATTCTTGATTATTATTAACAAAGTTAACCCTAATGTGCTGTTTGTGGTCCTGGAGACCTTGAGCCCCTGTTAACAGTGTTATGAGTGGGGCAAAAAAGTATTTAGTCAGCCACCAATTGTATTTGGTCACCAATATACTTATTTTCCACTATAATTTGCAAATAAATTCTTTAAAAATCAGACAATGTGATTTTTCTGGATTTTTTTTTTTTCTCATTCTCTCTCATAGTTGAAGTATACCTATGATGTAAATTACAGGCCTCTCTCATCTTTTTAAGTGGGAGAACTTGCACAATTGGTGGCTGACTAAATACTTTTTTGCCCCACTGTATGTACAGAATTCAGAATACGTTTCATCTTGTCTTAACTGAAGTTGTACGGTCTACTCACCATTCTCCAGAGCCGTGAAACACACACACAAAGTCCAGAGCATCCATCTTCCAGAAGCCATAGCTGGGAGGAAACACAAACAGGCAGTGCTCTCTCTGTGTATAAACCAGTGGCCAAAAACCTAGGCATGCATGATTAATCTACTGAGAGAAGCAGGCAACCCCACCCTCCTCTGTTTCTACTCCCACTTTATTCTCTTGGTCTCATTGTCTGTTTAGAACAATGAACAATCTGCTATGTGACTACAGGAGGGTTTTCATCAAGAACTACTGCTCATGTCTAAACTTGTGGCAGTGGTGGCTGTAATAGAAATCCATCCTACTCCCTTCAACCAAGTGATCCAATCAGCTGAACCTCTGTATGTGCGCATCTCTTTCATAGCAGAAACCTACATTTTATTTCCAGAATATAAAGCGAGACTATGTAACTGTGGTCGACTGATTGTTCTACCCGAGTAAAAATAACTGTTCTTTAAGAGGAAGGTTGGTTTTTTTTTTGTTTTAAATGCTGCATCATCTAACTTGAAGGAAGAAATTTCACATATGCATAAATGTTTCATTCATAAGTGGATCAACAAAAATGTACCAATTTCACTTCTCAAACATGATGGTTTGATCTGTTTTATGTCATGAGAAAATCAATGTTGGTTGGACAAAAAACTAAATTAGGCTTTGGGAAACTGACGTGTTTTTAGGCAGCTATAGACTAAACGATTAATCATTTAATACAAAAAATTACAGGTTAATCGATAATTAATAAACTGACAACTGAAGAGTTGCAGTCCTACTTTTTATTTCATTTACTTGACATTTCTCAGGTATTTTCGTTGCATTACATCTTATGGTTTATTGTAGCATTGAAGCTTGTGTTACCAAATAACTAATTTAACGTTTGTACTCCAAGCGATGCTAAAGGATTGAAGATCTCATGAGGTAAAATCAGCTGCTGCTGACTTTGGTCTGAATTCACCTTTCTCTGAGTTTATGTGAGTGTTATAACTAGGCAGGACCGTGGGGGAGGGGGGAGGGGGTATTTGCACTTGATCTGTGTACACTGATTTATGGTTTCAGAGCACTTAGAGATCCCAGGTTGTCAGTGGAGTGAGGAAATGTTCAAAGATTAGCTTCTGACACTTGCAGCAAGACGCGGTGATAAGGACATCATCCAGTTATAACCTACAGGGTAAACAAAATGCAGTCGTGGCAGCTTTTTGATGGAATTACATAAAATGTGTTAGTTATTCATGACTCACCTAAGTTGATCTGCTGGCCAAGCTCCCCAGTGATAATCCACATATGTTCGAGCTGACTCTGGGTGACCCCACCAGGCACAGCCAAATGTCACGCTGGCTAACAGTTGAGCCACTAGAGCCAAAATTCAAGCCAGTCAAAACAGTTGTCCGATTTAACGACACTCCATATGAGAACATGAGCAAATCACATCACACATATCAGCATTTAGATGATTTTGGTTTCTTAATAAGTTTTCAGCATTGGAAAAGAACTGTAAAGTTTAGTAGAAAACAAAGATGATGCAGCTTATAAGACTTTACAGCAACGTTCAACTAGTGTTTATTCACTGAACCAAACTTAGAAAAAAGCTGGGCTTTGAAATGAAGTGCTTAAAAAATTTTAATGGCTAAAAACTGAAACAGGTTCTTGAGGTGAGCATAGCAAAGAAAACTGTAACCTTTTATTATGTCACCTGTCATCTCTTTTCCTGCTTTCATTTAAATACATGTTACTAAGGTGATTTTACATATACTGGTATAGAAAAAAGGACAAAAAATATATAAAGATCTGCTAAATCAGCAGAAAGAAAGAAAACAGGGCTGTGGATTTTTTGTGTGTGTGGGTCTACATAAACCAGAAGTGACAGCTGACAAAGACACTGGGGGAAACAGATGTACAGAGGTTTTGTGCATTTCTGGGCCCTAGTTAAATATTTTCCTAGTTAAATTGCCAAAACATTTCAGATGTTGTGATTACATTGTAAGGATGTTTTCTGTTCTTAGCTGCTTCAATTTGGGACTTTACAATAAGTGTAATTATAAAAACCCAATCCAAACAACCAATGGCACAAGTTTGACATCTGCCAATTTATTCAGATAACAAATAACATACAGCACCATCTTTGTGGGTTGCAGCTGTGAAATACATAAATGTTTTACTCTGAGATTATAAAATAAAACTCACCGAAGAGAAAGATTCAGCAAAAGCATCCAGTACTTACTTTAAGCGCATTTGTCATTCAGGGGGTGTAAAGGTACTGAATTATATGGTGAGGCCATATTGTTGGTTATTTCAACCAAACAGTGCACACCACCATAAATACAGTGCCGAATTTATACACTGTAGCATCAACCCACAGAAAACATGCTACACAGTTCAATCATGTGTGTTTGAAACCAGTGAACGGGGACAGGTTTGTGAGTGTGTGTGTGTCTCTGTGAGTTTCAAAATGAACTTACATTTAGCTCCATCATGTCTGCAAGCAGACAAAAATTAGAACCACTTATTCAAAAAACTTGAATCCACGGATAGCTGCACTTCCCACTGTCTTTATCACATTCACACAAAATTACAAAAAAGTGTGTAGAAACACACACACACACCTCAGTTTTGGGATCAATATGCTTGCTGGTTGGACATGTAACACTTCCCTTTGTAAAACATTATCAGTGTCTTAGCGACATATGGGCAGTCTCTATTTTAGGATAAATTATACCTAATTCTGGTCTCTCATGAGATGGGGCCTCAATAAACAGAATGAGTAAGAGAGAGTGTGAGAAGAGAGGAAGACAGGTGGGAGAGACAGCGAGACACAGGTAAGTGGAGTGAGCGATCTCCGTCTCTTCTTCTTCAGGCTAACTGGGAGTGACCTGATGGCTGGCCAGCCAATCATAGTGGGAGCCACGCCAGTTTAGAATGATCAGATCACTTCAGCGAGAGCCCTAAGCCTGTTGCTGTAGTTTTAATGGCAGTGGAGTCTGATCACAACAGCATGGTGACAGGTTTCTCCAGGAACTTGCGGAACTCTGCGAGCCACTGCGCTCCGACCGCCCCGTCTACCACCCGGTGGTCGCAGCTGAGTGTCACCGACATCATGCTGGCTACATCAAACCTGTGAACCCCAAATGCACACATGCACATCAGATTTGGTTTTTGAAATGCTGTACGTCCAAGTTAATTTAGTATAGGAGTCACAGCACTGACCCCTTCTCATTATCAGCAGGCAACAACCGTTTCTCTGAGCCTCCGACAGCAAGGATACAGGCCTGGGGAGGGTTGATGATTGCTGAAAAGTTCTTGATGCCAAACATCCCCAAATTTGAGATGGTAAATGTACCTCCCTGGTGGAAAAACACATCTTTAATGAACCAACAAACTGAAAACCTTCTTCTGAATGTTTCTTATAACTCAAATTCCTGAAAAACGACATATATTTACAGATGTGGGCAATGACTTGTACCTGGAACTCATGGGGCTGCAGTTTGCCTTCTCTTGCTTTGGCAGCAAGAGCCGACACATCGGCGCTGATGGCAGCCAGCCCTTTGACGTGGGCATTAAACACTATGGGTGTGATCAGACCACTGGCCGTGCTCACTGCTACACTGACATCAACCACATGATTCCTGAAAGAAGTAAAATAGGTCAACACAGATGACAGCTCAGATATTTGAAGAGCTGAAAAGGTGTCTGTGCTCTGAGCACCTTCTGCTGGCAAAGTAGTGCAGCTACACTTTCACAGACCAGTAACTGACAAAAATATTACATTATTCTAATTTAACAATACTGCTGTTTTTAATTTGCACCATCTCCCTTGTTGGTCTGGATTCATTTGGATGTTACCATGGATACGAGTGACAAATTAAATTTAGATTTTTATACGCAAAGAGAAAAAAAACTATTGTGACAGGCTCATATTTGTAAGCAAAAGATCAAACCAAGAGAACCTTTTTCCCTGGTTACTATATAAATTACATGTACAGTACATGTTTGCATATGCCTGTTAATGTGCCTGCATACTTACTGGCGGATGACTGTGTCCATCCAGGACGAGTTGCACTCAGGAACCTTGAGGCAGGCCAGAGCGCTGGCTTTGATGAGGAAATCATTCACACTAAGTTTGATATTCTGAGCTTTCACTTCCTGTAAAGAGGAGGTGAGGTTGTTTAAGAGACAAGGAATAATTACAGCTTCCTGTTAACAGTTTCAAGCGAAGACTCACAGCATTGAGTTCTTTCCGAAGCTCGAGCACTTGGTCCATGTTGACATCTACAGACAGATAATAGTGGGGGATGGTTTGCTTGGACTGCAACAACCTCTGAGCAATGACCTGCAGAAGAGACACATATATGCACATGATTCATCATAGAGAGGCATGAGATACATTGGTCAAGTCTGTGTTGAAGAATGAAGGGCTTGTCTTCAGGGAAAAATGTGGAAGCACAGGCCACGTTGCTACACTGTGACAACCCCTCAGGATTTGCCTCACACCATTCAATACAACAACACGTGTTGTGAAGTACACCCAACTGCTTTCTGAGGAGGCCGAGCAGGAGAAGAAGCTGTCATTGAACACAATGGACCACCAGAGGTCCAATGTGTGTGCTCTCACCTTGCGGATGTTGCTGAGAGGGATGTCTGTGAAGGTCCCAGCTGGTGCTGCAGCAGGTGAAGGAGCAGCTGGAGAGGGAGCAGCAGCTGGAGAGGGAGCAGCAGCTACAGCCTGCCAATGGAAATTATTACACTTAAATCAACATGAATTTCAGCAAAACCTTCAGGCACATACAGTACACTATGACATCATAATTTTCAAACTGCTCAAAAGTACAGTAATACCTGTAAGTGTGACTCATTTGCCAGTGCTGATGATTTGTAGATCAAAACCTTTTAGCCTACTGTAACATGTCAACATCTGGACATAAAACACTAAATGTTCTTCACACTAGACATGGACTCAATCCAATCCTACATCGGTACTGGGTCCGATATTATTCACTCATTGGATATTGAATGGACAGGGCTAATCCACATTCCAGTGTGCAGCTTGTGCTGGACCATGAACCCACCATAACCTTACATAAGGTAACATGAGACATGTCACCGATCCAGATTCTGTTCCACATCTTACCATAAACCGGCAGCAACTTCAGTCTGTAACTGAGTGAGCAAATATCTTTAGCTTTTGGTTTGACTAAAATGTTGCTTGTTTGGAGCTATTGTAGTCACTTAGAGCCCTGGTATAATCTCCCATATAATTATTAATAAATTATAATAAACTGAGGGTGTTAGATTTGATTAATCTGCACAACAGTAATTGGGAGCCATGTATACAGAAGACTCTGGGGGATTCACTTACAGGTGCAGCTTTCGGTGGAACAAAGCTCTCAATATCTTTCCTGGTGATGCGTCCATCAGGACCAGAACCTGAACAGAAAACAGCTCCATGTATAAAAAATATTTTGACATTTTATGTGCTGCAGCAGCTGGCTCTGCATTTAGTGTTTCAGTAGAAATAATATCTGTTCTACCAAACAAATCTTAGTCATGTGTGTCTTGGTCACTTACCGCTAACCTGAGCCAGATCAATTCCTTTTTCAGTGGCTAGTTTTTTGGCAAGCGGGCTGGTGAACACACGCCCCTTCCTGGGAATAATAATAATAAAAACACTAAAACACACAAAATACTCATAAATCACTTAACTGTGAAAGTGATCTTAAAACTGAAAAGATCACATTCAGTAATTTTCCAGGAGTATTTCAATATAGTGGTCATTTTTATTTAAAAGGAAAAGCTTTGAGTATGTCTCACCGGTGCTGGTACTGGAGCTGGAGGAGGTGTGGAAATCTCTGCCACGCCAGTCTCTACATAATCCTTGAAGGCATCGATATCGCTTTCTTTCTCTACAATGATGCCAAGCGGCGTTCCCAGTGGGACATTCCGAGTTCCCTCCGCCACTAGGATTTTGGCCAAATATCCTTCCTCCTGCACCTCAAAGCCTACACACCGACACAGAAAAGGGACAAGCTCAGCTTTTGCTGCCATCCTCTACTTCAGGATACCAGTGTTCCCATATAGGAGATTAATTAATGTCATCAAATATTCTGGCAAAGAGATTGGAGGATGTAGTTGATATGTTTAATAGGTTCTTTGTGAATTTTGGTCCTGGTTTAGCAAGAAGCATTTGTACAGATGATACATCCGTCACTATAAATAACAATACAATCGAAAGGAACATGAGTTCTATGTTTTTGAAGCCCATAGTTGAAAAGGAAATTATAGAGATAGTGAATAAATGTGGTAACAAAACATCTAGTGATAGTGATGGTATCACTATGACAACTGTTAAATGGGCAATTGAGGGGATATGCAAACCATTAACCCATATTTTTAACATGTCATTTCGACTTGGGCAGTTCCCCAATAATATGAAAATAGCAAAGGTTATTCCACTGTATAAATCTGGTGATAAGCACAACTTCACAAATTATAGACCGGTTTCTCTGTTGTCACAATTTTCAAAAATCTTGGAAAAACTCTTTAATAACAGATTAGATACATTTATTGACAAACATAAAATCCTCTCTGATTGCCAATACGGTTTTAGGTCAAACCGATCGACATCTTTGGCCATTACCGACCTGATGGAGGACATAACAAGTGCTATGGATGA